AGTGACAGAGCTGTCAGGGTTACCGCCGCCTTCTGGCAGCTTCCAGTGAGTTCTATGGGAAGATGCTTTTCAAGCAGCACAGTAGCAAGAGCTGATGAAGCTGATGAAGTTCACAGTCCCCAAGGTGGATAGCCGGTCTGAGGGTAGCCTTCCGTAAGAACTGGAGCAAGGTCCTGTAACTCCTTTATCAGGAGGAGTGGCTCTCGCCCCAAGCCTGCCACACAGCGGGTATCTTTACGACACTGAACGCTGCCGCCTGGACCATGGATTCTTGTCCTGGTGTAACTGTCTTCCCTTAAACCATGCTCTGCACTGTGTCTGCTCCAGACATTCCTCCGATGATGAACTAAGATATAATTATAGGTATATATGTAGGGAAATATTCTTCAGGCACTCATACTATCAACTATTACTGATTATATAGAGAGGATTATATAAAGGAATTATTCAAACCCTAATTCTATGAACTAATATATGATTATGTAAAGGATTATATAAAAGGAAATAGCTGAGTAGTAACACTATAAAGTGAGATATTCCTCAAGCCCTAACTGTGCCAGGGCTCTGCTCAGCTCTCATTCCTTGTGCCTATATGAGGGGTTACCCACACACGGTGGAGGCTGATTGCTCGGCCCTGCCGCACCTCCCATGGGGGCTGCTGTCCTTCCCCGAGCTGTGGCCTGACGGGGTGGGAGGTTTGGGTCCCTGGTGCTCTCCCAGGTGCTCCAATTGTGGACACTGTGACATTTCACCCCTCCTTCCAGGAGGGCAGCAGGCTGACACTGGGACACACGGGTTCCCTCGAGGTGTTCCCAGCTGTGGCTTGGCCTCCACTGGTTCTCAGACGCTCCGGTGGGCACATGCCACTGACATCAGAGGGCAGCATTGGGGGTCTGGCCCCAGAAGTTTCTGTGCGGGGCGGTCTGCCCTGCTCTCCCCATTCTGACTGCCCTGTGACCCGCGGAGGCCCTGGCCTTGCAGGGGAGGGTCACGGCCCCGGAGTGGCACCAAGGCGGGAGGCGAGTGGAAGGAGAGGGACAGTGGCCCGGGGACCTGACATGAGCAAGGCGGGGGGCCCCTGTGGTTCCCGAGGCCCCTGGGCCAGCACCTCCAGAGCAGGTCCGAGGCCCTGACACACAAGAGAGTCATGTGGCTTTTTTCTGCTCCCCGTGGATGTCTGTCCTGCCCATGAGATCCATCGAGCCCGAGGCTGCTCCAGCACATCCATGAGGCTGACACACCACAGCCGGGCCTCCCCTCCCGCCCTGCCCTTCGCTCCTCAGCCAGGCACAGGCACAGACACCTGGCCCCTCTCCAGCATAACCCTGCTTCTTGCTGGGCGTGTGTGAAACCGGTTTTAAGCCTCAGTGAGGAGTGAGTGACAGGTGGTAAGCTGGAGTGATTAATGTCCACCCCACAGTCTGGGGCGCGTGGCTGCACCGTGAGGCCGTCACCAGTGCCACTCAGGGCCACGTCCACCGGCTCCCATGTCCCTGCAGCCAGCTTGTCCTCTCTGGCCCCAGGTTGCCTACCGCCTGGGGGGTCCTGTGAAGGAGTGTGAGTGGGCACAGCCTCCCGCCCCTGGGGGGTTGGAGCTGTCAGGGAGCCGCACCTCACTCCAGAGACCAGGCCAGATGGAGAAGCGGGTGCAGGCCACAGAGGCAGGGCAGGGGCGACCCACCTGAGGCTCCCGAGGTCAGCGTCCGGACTGTGAGTCCAACCTCAGGGTCCAGCACGCACTCAGCTGTGCCAGTTCCTTTCCTAGTGGCTGGGACCGGCCCCCGGAGTCACCCTTGAAGAAGGAGGAGAAAGTCCCAGCAGCCCCGCACTCGGCACCAACACCCCTCACTCCCCAGAGTGGCCTGTGGAGTGAACCGCAGAACTGAGGCAGCTTGAGGAGAAGGCAGGTGGGTCCTCAGCAGGCCTGGAGCAGCTCCAGAGGCAGGGGTGGCTGCCCATGTGACTGTCCCAGCCTGGGCGTCGTCAGGAGCCGAGCCCCTGCTGCCTGCTGAGGTTTGCTGTGGCCTCTTACTTCCCCCGCAGTTGACCAATGAGCCCACCCAGGTCCAAAGAGAGTCTGTGGGTGGGAACCCCACCACTGACTGACTGTCCTGCTGCCTCCATCGGGCCCTGGGGACCAGCCATCCCCACGGTACTAACCCAGGCTATCTCACAACCAGGGACCCAATGGCCCTGAATGAAGTCTGCTGGTTTTTTTTTTTTTTTTTTTTTTTGAGTTGGAGTCTCGCCGTGTCACCCAGGCTGGAGTGCAATGGTGTGATCTTGGTTCGCTGCAACCTCTGCCTCCCAGGTTCAAGCGATTCTCCTGTCTCAGCCTCCTGAGGATTACAGGCACGCGCCACCACACCCAGCTAATTTTTGTATTTTTAGTAGAGATGGGGTTTCACCATGTTGGTCAGGCTGGTCTCGAACTCCTGACCTTGTGATCTGCCTGCCTCGGCCTCCCAAAGTGCTGGGATTACAGGTGTGAGCCACTGTACCCAGCCAGTCTGCTGTGTTTTAAGAAGCATCATTGAATATTTTTCCTTTAACGCCGCTCGCCGGGTGCAGGCTGTCGGCCCCACCCCACCATGACGTCGAAGCTGCAGGTGCTGCCTTGGAGACGGGAGTCTTTACCCCAGCAGCTCAGCCCACGCCCACAGTCTGCTCTAGCGCTCCCTTGGTGGAACAGACCCCGGTACTCATTTTAAAGTGTTTACCAGGAGTACTCACCCTCCTGGGATGCAGACCACGGACCCACAGCCCACGTGACATGGAGCCTAGGACTCAGACCATGAGAACTCGGGAGGTCACACGGGTGCAGTTTCCACACAGCGCATGCAAACGCACCACCACTGCTACCTGGGCACACGGATCATGAATGGTCAGACCACACCAGTGACACCAAGAAAGGAGCCCAGAAAATGCCACCTCATCCTACAGCAGCACAGTCCGCTAGCATCACCTCACGAGTGTCTTACCCAGCAGCACTGTGCCACTATGAAGGGAATGTGAGCATTATCTCTAACGCGGAGGCACTCAATGCCAGAGTTACCACTCCGTGGAGACCTGGACCACGAGTACTCCCTGAACCAGGGCAGAGACACGAGCATTCACACAGGCTACCCCTCACCAGGGATACCCACTTCGTTAGGACCTGGACCACGAGTACTCTCTGAACGAGGGCACAGACACGAGCACTCACACTGGCTATCCACAGCCCCCAGCCCTGCAGACCCCAAGAGGCCTGGACAGCCAGCCGCTGGGTGATGGGTGCTGCCCTGGTGGGCCCCAGCTCACCCAGCAGCCCTCCCTCCGGGCCCACAGGAGCCAGCACAGTGGGGCACGGAGGACTTGTGCTGCCGGTGAGCCCACCTTCAGCTTGACTTGTCTCACCGGGAGACTCTGGTCTCCTAACTGTGGCGGGAGGGACAGGCCTCTCACGTGTGCCGGCCCCTCGTAGGTCCTTACAGACCTGAACAACTACGGCACTCAGAAACCTGCTCAGGCTTGGCCCCAGGGACCCTCCAAATTAGCTTCTGGGTCCCCGTCCCCAGGAGCCTCCCACATGCCCTCTAGGCCCTGCCCCACCCCGCCGCTGGCCTGACCCCACAGTGCTCATGCTGTTCCTTGCCTCCCTCCTGTGTCCCCTGCCTCACGGGGCACATGCTTTCCCCGCGGACATAGGGCTGACCTCCATCTGCCCGAGGCACCCCTACCCCCACCCACCTCAAAGGCTACAGAATATCCTTGACCTTGAATGTGGCAGGCAGAATTTCCGCCTGAAAGCGCCTGTGCGGTGAGGCCTCCAGCAGTCAAGGTTCCGTGGAAGCCTCTGGGCTCAGGCACAAACCCTGGCAGCTCAGAGGAGGTGAGACCGGCGGGCGCAGCAGCGGACACACCCATTGTCCTGGCTCAGGCCGATGCTGGTCCCGACAGCATCCTCTAGAAATGCCAGATCCAAGGCGCGGGGGCAAGTGGCAGGCCAGCCCAGGCACCATCTGGCACTGGGTGGGTGCGGAAGAGCTCTGTGCAGCCCCGTCTCTGCACGTGGGGCGCATTCGCCACCTAAGCGCAGGCCCCCAGCTCTTTCCAGGTCCCCAAACAGGCCTGCAGCTGCTGTCAGTGACGGACAGCTCTTGAGCCTGGCACGTGTCCGCTGAGCTGACCTTCTGCTGAAGGCCTCCCGGGGGCCCACTGCTCCCGTCCAGCCGGGGTCCCACCGGAGTCCCCAGTCAGGTAGGTGGAACGTGCGGGCCCGACCCAGGCCCCTCCCCACAGGACCAGTGGCGGCTCCTTCGCTGCCCAAAGCCCCTGCAAGGGCGGCTCATTTAGCAACAGCGCAGGCCGACCAGAGCCAGGCCATGTCCGGGGCCTCATGGGAGACACAGCAGACACCACTGTGTGGCCTCCCAGGCCAGAGGCTTCCTCAGCTAGGACCGAGCCAGAGAAGAACCCTCAGGGTCTGGCACAGGTGGCTTCTGCTTCTGGTTCTTGGGGCTGACTAAAGTCACTGCAGTGCTGTTGCTGTGTGGGGGTCACACACCAGCAGGAGGTGGGGTGGGGGTCCTTACCTGTGCCTCTGAAGATGATGCACGTGTGTGCACACTTTCCTTCAGAGACATAGGTGCATGTGCGCACACAACTCCCACAAGTGCACCCACACACCACACAGGCCGGCAGGGTCACACACTCCGTCACATCCCACACACAGACACATAAACAAACAGGCCGGCAGATATACTCCGTCACGTCCCATACACAGACACACACAATCAAACCGGCCAGCAGGCACACACACGCCATCACACAGGAAGTGGCACCGAAGTCAGATGTGGGACACAGTATTTGGGTCTGGCTCTGGCTCCAGGGTCGGGCGCAAGGTGACTCTGAGCTGGGAGCCCCTCAGCGTGGCCGGGCTTTGGGTGTTCACACTCCAGAACATTACGTGCCAATGGCTGCGGCCCAACCCCGGCCCTGAGTGGACTCACGAGGCTAAGTCAGCATAGAAACACACAGAGGTTTAATGTTTAATGTTGACTTTCTTTGGTTCAGTGGCAGGATGCCTCTCTGTTCAGCCAGGGGCACTGAGGGCAGAAAGTTCACGAGGGGCTGGAGGGGCCAGGGAGAGCAGTGTCGCCCCGGGATCAGGACACAAAGTGGGCCACACACCCCGGGCCCCTCTACCCCCATGGAGGGCGAGAAAATGCACGGGTGCTATTAACCAGCCTCACAAAGAACAGACAACGCAAAGACTGTATTTCTGTGTGGACGGTTCTGCACCTACAGTGTGTACACAGCACAGCCTCGGGATTCGGGTTCACATCGGCTACGGAAGCAGGTGGACAGCTGAGGCGGAGGCAGGGCCGCCAGGCGTCATCCGCTGGCCCATCTGGTTGCCCCGTAAGGACGCGCAGGGTTTGCCGGGTGGAGCACGCTGCGGCCGACTGCGTCGTGGTGAAGTTTACGGACACCCCGGGAAGTGAGTTTCCTCACACTCAGATACTGAGTGCCAGCCTCCGGAGAGCCCTTCCACCGCGCAGGCGCTGGGAACACTCCCCCACACCCCTCTTCTGGGAGGTGTGCATCGGAAGTCTGTGCTCCTGGTGAGACGGCCCGACTGTCTGCACACTGGCGAGGCTGCTGACGCTGACATTTGCAGGGTGAAACCATCTGCAGTGACACTCTGGTGTGCGGGGCGCTGGAGAGCACACGCCTTCCACGTGCAGGGCGTGCACATGTGCTTGACGGGTGCGTATGTGGGGTATGCATGTGTGTGCACCTGTGTGTATGTGTGGGTGCACATGTGTCACAGGGAAAGAGGGAGGGAGGGCTGTGCACGAGTCACGCCTGTGGCCCTCTGGACTCCCTCCCACCAGGGACGGGCCACTGGCTCTCACAGAAGGCTTGCTGTCATCACATCTGTCCTTTGAGTCAGGGCTTTGTGCCCAGATGTTTTTCATGGAGATGAAAAAAAGGGAAAGGGATGTTGTCCGTGAGAATGTCCCACCAGCCAGCCCCCCTTCTTTTTGGGATAGAACCTTCTTGTTGCCAGGTGCCTACACTGGAGTGGAACCCAGTCCCAATGCGGGTGGCTGGTTTTGGAAGTCGGGTCTTCACTAAAGGATGTTGGGCATTTTCCAAAGGCGTGGGCCCCTGAGAGACCCCCACTGGCCCTCTGAGGCTGACAGCTATCCCCAGAGTCCAGAGCATGGCCGCAGACCCAAGCATCCGTGGCGCTCTCAGCCCTGCAGGGCAGGGGCTACGAGCATGGGCTGACCTTGGACACTGAGTGGGCGAAGGCGCACGGGGGCCCCGGGAAGCTATAGGGGCGGCTCAGACACAGGACAGCGGAGGGTCGTGAGGGTTCTGCCCAGAGCGAGAATGCTGGGGACAGACCGGCCACCACCACCCCAGAGAACACAAGACACACACACTGAATGCTGGGAAGGTCAGGGCAGCCTCCTGCTGTGGTCTCGGCCCTGCCGGCCACACCCGAGGAAGCCAGGAGCCCGTGGGCCGCAGGGCATCTCGGGCCGGGCCACGCCGGGGTCCGGCTGGGTTCTTTGATGGAATCCCCTGTTCTGCTTCTGGGCACCTCAGGACTGGAGGCCACAGGACAGAAACCGGATGACCATGTGTGGGGCCCAACACGTGGATTTGGGATAAGAGGAGCAGGCGTGGGCCAGAGCGTTTCCCCGCTGAGGTCTCTCTCATGGAAGGCGGCAGTGGGGGGTGTGAACTGCTTCTGAAAGGCAGGGTGGCTTTGGCGCTCCCAGTGACCTCATGTGGCAGATGGACCCCTGCTCTGCTCTGAAGCTCCTCCAGGGACACCGTGTCCCCTGCCCCGGCTACACAGTAGTTTCGTTTCTCCAGGGTCCTGTTCGGATGTTACCAAATGGCAGGCCTTCTAGCAAGTCACCCTTGGGCAGCCCGTTCTGGCTGGGGCCGCCGAAGGGCAGGGACTGTGTCCTCCGCAGCATCTCCAGATGGCCAGGCCGCGTGGGGCAGCTGTAGAGGCTAGGGCTCCCCTCGCTGCCCTCGGGCTGGCCAACCAGGGGGAAGGGGTCGCCTTGGGCACAGCAGGACAGCGTGTGCGTCCCCGCCGGGCCCTCCAGCGAGCTGGGGGGGCTGTCCGTGCGCGAGCTGCGGGGGCTGCCGTCCAGGCTGGATGGGATGTGGTAGGCGTACTCGGGTTCGGTGGCCGCCGGGTGCCGGCCGAAGTAGGGCGGCTTAGTTCTGCCCTGCAGGCACCCGTGCAGGTGGGGGTCGTGCCCGAAGGCTCCCTCCTCCTGCAGGTGCGCGTGCGCCTCGTCCGCCATCAGCGGCTCGCAGTGCATCTTGGCGCAGCACGGGGTGGCCGGCGACAGGCAGCTGGCGTGGCCCTGCGCGGCCTGCAGGTTGGTCATCTTGCAGGGGCCCGGCGGGTGCGCGAAGCCCCGCGGCTGTCCGAGGCCCGGCGAGTGCAGGCATGTGGCGTGGCCCGGCGCGGCCCCGTCGGCGTGGAGCGCGGGCCGGGGGTCCCCGCGGGGCGGGCAGCAGGCCCACCAGCACCGCCACACGTCCTCGCGCTTGGCGCAGTGGTGGATGAGCACGAAGAGCCCCAGCGTCACGCAGAAAGCGCCGTACAAGCAGCTGAAGACCATGTCCAGGAAGTGGCCCTGCGACACGGCCAGCGCCCCGAAGGCCCATGTGGCCGCGAACAGGAACAGCGTGAAGGCAGCGGCGCGAAGCTGCGCCTGGAACGAGTGCTCGTTCTGCAGCACCGAGGCCCCGGGGCCGCCGCGGGCGGGTGGGGTGCCGGGCCGGGGCCCGCGCGGGCCGCCCTCGGGCGTCGCCAGCCGCCGCTGCTCCTCGGGCCGCGCGCGCAGCTCGTACCTGCGCCCCGGGTGGCGCCGCAGCTGCACGTAGGTGCCCAGGAAGTACACGCAGGTGACCAGGGCGATGAGGGCGGCGGGGCCGTAGAAGGCGCCCAGGCTGGGCTCCCAGGCCATCCAGCAGCTGCGGGGGAAAGACGCGCGTCAGCCGGGCGGGCCGGCCAGGACTCGGGACTCATTCGGGACACGGGACTCGGGACGCGGGACTCGGGACTCGGGACTCGGGACTCGGGACTCGGGACTCGGGACTCGGGACTCGGGACTCGGGACTCGGGACTCGGGACTCGGGACTCGGGACTCGGGACTCGGGACTCCGGACTCGGGACTCGGGACTCGGGACTCGGGACTCGGGACTCGGGACTCGGGACTCGGGACTCGGGACTCGGGACTCGGGACTCGGGACTCCGGACTCGGGACTCGGGACTCGGGACTCGGGACTCGGGACTCGGGACTCGGGACTCCGGACTCGGGACTCGGGACTCGGGACTCGGGACTCGGGACTCCGGACTCGGGACTCGGGACTCCGGACTCCGGACTCCGGACTCCGGACTCGGGACTCGGGACTCGGGACTCGGGACTCGGGACTCGGACTCCGGACTCGGGACTCGGGACTCGGGACTCCGGACTCGGGACTCGGGACTCGGGACTCGGGACTCCGGACTCCGGACTCGGGACTCCGGACTCGGGACTCGGGACTCGGGACTCGGGACTCGGGACTCCGGACTCCGGACTCGGGACTCGGGACTCGGGACTCGGGACTCGGGACTCGGGACTCGGGACTCGGGACTCGGGACTCGGGACTCCGGACTCGGGACTCGGGACTCGGGACTCGGGACTCGGGACTCGGGACTCGGGACTCGGGACTCGGGACTCGGGACTCGGGACTCGGGACTCCGGACTCGGGACTCGGGACTCGGGACTCGGGACTCGGGACTCGGGACTCGGGACTCCGGACTCGGGACTCGGGACTCGGGACTCGGGACTCCGGACTCGGGACTCGGGACTCGGGACTCCGGACTCGGGACTCGGACTCGGGACTCGGGACTCGGGACTCGGGACTCGGGACTCGGGACTCGGGACTCGGACTCGGGACTCGGGACTCGGGACTCGGGACTCGGGACGGGACTCGGGACTCGGGACTCGGGACTCGGGACTCGGGACTCGGGACTTCCGGACTCGGGACTCGGGACTCGGGACTCGGGACTCCGGACTCCGGACTCGGGACTCGGGACTCGGGACTCGGGACTCGGACTCCGGGACTCGGGACTCGGGACTCGGGGACCGGGACTCGGGGACGGCGGGACTCCGGACTCCGGACTCCGGACTCGGGACTCGGGACTCGGGACTCGGACTCGGGACTCGGGACTCGGGACTCGGGACTCGGGACTCGGGACTCCGGACTCGGACTCGGGACTCGGGACGCGGGACTCGGGACTCGGGACTCGGGACTCGGGACTCGGGACTCCGGACTCGGGACTCCGGACTCGGGACTCGGGACTCGGGACTCGGGACTCGGGACTCGGGACTCGGGACTCCTGTGGAGCCAAGGTCCCGCGCCCACCCCGACAAGCGAGTGGCTCTGTGCAGTCACGGCTTGGTGGTCTCGGGCGTTTCTAGAGTCGCTGAGAGTGTGGATGGGAATGGGCCCCCCCCATCGGCCCTACCAGCTCCGGAGGTCGGGAGCCCGGAAAGTGTCTCCAGTGGGGGCGGAGGCGCAGCCGGGTGTGGGGGCAGGAGGGACCCGAACTTGCTGGGTGGGGCCCGAGGGCGAAGCGGGCTGGGCGGGGCTGGCGAGGGTGGGCGGAGCCAGGGAGGTGGAGTCGGGTGGGGCTGGGTCAGAGGGCGGGGCTGGGTGGGCGGGGCCAGCATGGGTGGGCGCGGCCAGTGAAGTGGCGTCTTGTGGGCGGGGCCAGGCAGACGGCGCAGCTGGGTGGGCGGGGCCGGTGTGGGTGGGCGGGGCCAAGGAGGTGGAGTCTGGTGGGCGGGGCCAGGCAGAGCGCGCAGCTGGTTGGGCCGGGCCGGGCCGGGCCGGCGTGGGTGGGCGGGGCCGGTGTGGGTGGGCGGGGCCTGGCCGAGGGCAAGGGGCGGGGGATCCTGGGCCTCAGAAGGAGCTGGGGGCGCTGAACCAGAGGATCCAGGACGGCTCTAGGCACCGATGAGAGGGACGGTTGGCTCCATTCCTACCTGATGGGGTTTCCCTTCTCAGCTGAGCTCCGTGCTGCTGCCAAATAGCTGTTTGTCCCCAGGCCCCTCCCATGGAAGGGAAACCAGGCCTGCCTTGTCCAGGGGCAGATTAGGGTGGAGTCCCTGGGAGAGGAGGGGGCGCCGCGCACTCCTGGGGGGCGCGAGCTGGGAGGGGCGTGGGTCTGGGCGAGCCCCGGGTCCAGGCCCCAGCCTTGCTGCTCCGTCTTGGGCTCCCCCAGTGCGGGCGCCCCGAGGCCTCCAGCAGAACCCACCCGCCCCTCCCCGCTCCTGGCGGCAGGTGCCCAGTACTCACTACGCGGTGTCCTCATCCTCCGTCCCGTAATTCCTGATGTTCGTGGCAGCTGTGACCCCACAGATGATGAATGGGACCCCTCCGCTGACGAGGTAAAACCTGCCGGAGTGGAAGGCGCTGATCCCCTTGCAGACCCGGCCTGCGTCCTCCTGGGACAGCCCTGCCCCTCTCGCCCTCCGCGGGGCAAGGGAGAGTAGCGGGTGCAGGCGGAGTAGGTGCGGGGACGAGACTCCTGATCCCTGATCCCTGACCCCTGACCCCTGACCCCCGACCCTGATCCCCGACTCCCGACCTCCGACCGAGCACCGATCCTGGCCTTGCCTTGCCTCCTTCCTGCAGGCCTCTGCACCTGTGGAGGGACCTGGACCCCAACACGGAGGTCCCAGGTGAGCTGGGTGGGCTGCAGACTTCACGGCAACTGCAGGGAGCCCCTGGCTACAGGCGGATCGCTCCCCTAGCAGCGCGGGTCACACAGCAGGTAGTGTGTGGCCAGTGATGGGAGTGGGGTGGGAGGGGGACCCTTTTAAGCAGTTTTAAGACCTCACTCAGCCTCAGGGGAAGAAGTGCAGAAGGCCGCAGTCTCCTCTCCCTGCAGACCATGAAGCCCCACCTTGGAGGGGCAGAGTCTCAACCTGAGAGGTGCAGCCCAAGCCCAGGGCAGGGGCTGACGGTGCCCTCTGCCTGCAGGGCCTGTCAACGGCACCCAAGGGTTCATGCAGATGCTGCCTGTCCCCGACCGGGTGCACTTGCTCACCGCTTCCACCCCTGGCCAGACCCATGAGACACTCCCTGGCTGCCAGCCCTATGGAGCATGACCTAGGGGCCAGCTCCAAGCCCATTTCCACAGTAGTGACCTGGGGGGATCTCAGAGACCATCCCCACATGGGTGACCTGGGTGGGGGCAGCTCAGAGACCTTCCTTGCATGGGCGCTGTCTCCCCAGTTGCTGCAAACTCGTGGGTCGGCCGTGGATACCCCATCATAAGTTTAGTTGGTTCCAAGGTGCAGGGGTGGGGGGTGGCCCTGCATCGGGTATTTTTTGGGGACCCCCCGCCCCAGGGAACCTGTGCTTCCCAGACTCTGTATCCCAAGAAAATATCCTTCAGGAATAAAGATGAAATAAAGACACTTTCTGATAAACATAAACTAAGAGAATTTGCCATCTATCGACCTGTACTTCCAGAAATGCTGGATGAAACTCTTCAGGGTGAAGGGTTGTGGACCCTCCCATAGGCACCACACCTGTGGAAGACCCTGGCCAGCCTGTAGGAGGAAGGGAGGGAGGCAGGAAACGATCCTGTGCGGCGGCAAGCTTTCTACAAATGTTCTGTGGAGCAGGACAGTGTTACCTAGACAGGCTGTGAAAAGGTTATGGATTTTAATCCCTTAGAGTAACCCTAAGAAACGAGGTAAAAACTAGTAAACTAAAAAAAATTAAAAATGTTAAAATAATCTAAAAGAAGGAAGCAAAGGAGAAATGGAAGAATTCAAAACAGCAAAACAATCACTAAAAGTGGTAAAAACAGAAAACAAATAGTATAATGGAGAGTAAATCTAAACAAATCAAAATTGCAATTAATTGTACAAGCTAAAATCTCCAACTGAAAGGCAGAGATTGCCAGAATAGATCGTAAGAACCTGGAACATGGTTTCCAGAAGAGAACACTTTGATATAAGAAACAAGTAAGTTGAAAGTAACTGGAAGGAAAAGGCATGTATGGCCGACCATGAGATCAAGAGAGCTACAGCTGCTACGCTGATACCAAGGAGCGTATACAATCAGACCGTGAGATAGAGGGGCGCGTGAGATGCAGCAGTGTCCAGGATAGACCTACAGAACACAGGAGTGTCCACGATAGACCACAGAACACAGGAGTGTCCACGATAGACCACAGAACACAGGAGTGTCCACGATAGACCACAGAACACAGGAGTGTCCACGATGGACCACAGAACACAGGAGTGTCCACGATGGACCCACAGAACACAGGAGTGTCCACGATAGACCTACAGAACACAGGAGTGTCCACGATAGACCACAGAACACAGGAGTGCCCACGATAGACCACAGAACACAGGAGTGTCCACGATAGACCACAGAACACAGGAGTGCCCACGATGGACCCACAGAACACAGGAGTGTCCACGATGGACCCACAGTCACACAGGAGTGTCCACGGTGGACCCACAGAACACAGGAGTGTCCACGATGGACCCACAGTCACACAGGAGTGTCCACGGTGGACCCACAGAACACAGGAGTGTCCACGATGGACCCACAGTCACACAGGAGTGTCCAGGACGGACCCACAGAACACAGGAGCGTCTGGACTGGATTCTGCTGTCCACACCTGGCTGACCTGAGGGGTTGGCACGGACACCTCTGCTTTGCTCCCACAGTCAACGGTGGCACAGAAAGCCCCCGGGTCTCATGGCTGTCAGGCACAGGGAGCCCTTAGACCCCGCTGTGGACACACAGGAGGCCACTGTCCCCGAGCCGGCCCTCCACCCTCCCCAAGAGACAGAGCGCAGGTTCTGGCCTCAAAGCCCCTCTGGCGTCCTCAGCAGGCTCGGCGCTGGGACAGGGACGGCTCAGTTCACACTCTGTGCAGCAAGGCCAGTCCACATTGCTCCTCTGTGGCCCGTGGCCCCAGTGAACCCACAAGGAGCCCTGGACAAAGCCGGCAGGAGAGGCCCCTGTGCATTCCCAGGCTGGATGACGGGTCTGCTGAGGTGTCCTGGGGGCCCTGCCTGGTTCTCGCCCGGGGGGTCCAGCACCACGAACTCCCCTGCCTTCCCTGTGGCTGCAGGTCTTCTCCAGGGGACCCCAGCAACCTGCAGAGAGCGTGGAGAAGCTGCCAGCAGCTGCGCAGAGGAGACGCCGGGATCTGTCTGTGCCGGGCGCCTCCAAGCTGCCCGCGGGGTCCTCCCTGCCGGGACGGTGGGCTCCAGGCTCCCTCCCAGCGTGCGGGACAGGCCGGCCGGCAGAAGCCGCTGGAGGCCGCCGCTGGCGCTGTCACTGCTGTGGCCCTGCAGGCGCGGGCTGGGCCGGGCAAGCCCTGCTGGGTCCACCTCCGCCACCCACGCCGGCGTGCCCTCAGGACAGCCTGAGCCCACGGCCGCCGACCCCGGGCCAGTGAGGGCGGAGGGGCCATCAGTGCTGGGCGGGCAGATGCACGCTGGCATCGAGAGCGGGAGCTCAGGCCGACGTGGGCCGAACAGCCACCCAAGGACGCCTGCGTCCTCTTCCCTGGAATCCGCGAACCTGTCGCCTTACGCGTGAAGAGAGACTTTGCAGACGGGCGAAGTGAGTGGTGGTGAAAAGCGGAAGCTGCCACCCTCCCCCGGGCTGTGCGGCTGGACTGACAGCGTCGCCGGGGTCCTCAGAAGAGGGAGGGCAGAGATCCCAGGGGAGAGAGGACGCTGGCTGCTGGCTTTCGGGGTGGAGGAGGCCCTGAGCCCAGGAGTGGTGGCGGCTGAGGCAGCCCCAGAAGATGCTGGGAGGGCGGAGAAAGCTGTGCCCCGCAGCTCAGCGTGGACCCAGAGAGACCGATTTTGGGCTTCTGGCCTTCTGACTATGAGACGATCCCTCTGAGTTGCTTCCGACCACTGAGCTTGTGCTGTGGCCATAGAAGCCACGGCAAGGTGACGCGGCCCCCCACTGTGGGGTGAACCCCAGCTACGAACAGTTACAGGACAGAGTTGCTGTTGCTCACAGGGGTGACGGGGAGCCAAGGAGGAGCCATGGTGTGGGTGTCGCCTGGGGACCGTGCCTTCTGTCACCCACAGAAGCACCAGGCACCCCAGGATCACAGACTTTGGGTTCCAAAGCTGACTCGGTGAAAGGGAACGTCTCTGCCGGGATGATACGAGGAGCAAACACGGGCCCCTCCCTGTCAGTGAGGGAGGGCGGGCAGCCCAGAGGAGCGTGGAAGAGACCTGCACACGCTTCGCAGAGGAGAGGAGAGGAGAGTGCAGCCAGCGACACCCAGACGGGTGCAGAGGGGTGCGCGGGGCCCCTGCCAGGGGTTGGCTTGTGAGGACTTAGCAGGGTCAGCGCTGAGCCCCGCATGGGTGGGATGAGCTGTGTGACCATGTGAGCCTCAGAGACCCACGTGCAATGGTCAGCAGAAGGGATAAAGCGTTAAGCCCCGTGGTCTCGCCAGAATGAGGTCCTGTGTGGCCATGGACACAGCAAGCCCGTTACCGACAGTTACAGGACAGACCTTAAGGAAACATGGCAGGGAGAGAAATCAGGTGAGACGACCCCAGACACACAGCCCAAAGCTGGTGCTGCCCAGGGAGGCGTGTGCTTGGCTGGCGAGCCAGGAGGAAGGCAGGGAGGACCCGGGGCCAGGCCAGGGTGTGTGGCTGGGGTGGGGCGGCCACGAGGCTCCTGCTTCTGCCCCCGCAGGACCTGGCAGTGGTTTTCCCAGCCTTGCTACTGGGTCCAGCATCTTTCTACGTGCACACTTTCCACTGCACACTCAAAAAAAGTTAAATTTGGAAAGTATTTTTAAAAGGAAAGAAAAAAAAAGAAGAAAGAGACAGGAACCACGCCCTGGCATGGGCAGAGCCTTGCAGAGGAGGGGCGCCTGCAGCTGACTCTGCCCAGCCCCCTCGCCCATTAGCCCCTCAGCCACATGCCCAGCCTGGGTGGTGCCAGCTCCGTGACCCCTCCTGGCACATGCCTGCTGCCATTGGAGCAGACAGTTGAGTCAGAATCAGTGCACTCTGGGACACGGATAATCTGGGCGAGGATGCAGACCACGGGTATGCTTCCTCCACGGCTCTGTTCCTGCCACGTCTGACCTCACTCCTCTCCCCGGGGTAGTGGCACTGTCACAGCCTGAGTGGAAAAGTCCCAGGAGCAGTCTGGACCCAGGTGCTATCCGGGGCAGCCCCTCTGAGACCAGAGCTGCATTCCTGGGCTCAGGTGGGTGGCAATGCCTCTGCCTCCATGCTGCGCCTCTCCTTACACCACATGCATGCCCACACTGCACACACGTAAAAGCTTCCAGGCAGAGATGACTCTCTTGTTAGGGGCCAGCACAGCCAGGGACTTTCAGCTGAAGCCCGTCCTCCTTCGCCATTCTGAAG